CACCAAACACACGCGGTAAACTCGTCCATATGTCTGTCGTCTTAGCCGCTGCCCGTCCGGGAGCGAAAATCGACTGCCACGCAACGGAGCTCTTTCTTGAAGAAATTCTCTGCTCTTTTCTTTATTGGCGCGCCAATGAACGCCCCGCATCGCTTCAGACCCTGTCAGAAACTGTCATAAGTGCTCCTTATGAAAAATGAATGAATAAGATTTCGAGTTTTTTTTGGTAAATATCTTAAATTAGGCAAAAGTTTCGGGGCTCAGACCACCCAATAAGCCCTTAAAGTGGCTAGAAGTGCATGGGACGCAGCTGCATGGCGACTCGCCAAGTTCCCGCATCCAATGTAAATGCGTCACTAAGGCGCTAGGGGCCAAGGACTTTGACACGCTCCACCTGTTGCGACACGCTCCGCCCACCGCTCGATATTTTGTCTGCGTCGCAATGCTGATCTGCTATGCTCTCTCTTCTCGGATTTCTCTACCGCTCTCCGCGCTCACATTATCTCTCATCTCCCTGCCGGCCTTTTGAACTTCTCCGCAACGTAGAGCAAAAGGCTCGTATTTCCTGTGTATTTCACGATTTTTTTTTTCTCCAACTGGCGGTCCACCTCCCACCCCTACATCACATTTGAGTAGAATTACCTCATCAGTTTAAGCTTGAATCTTGCCTTTAAAGTAGAGTCAGCACTCGTACTGCCCCAAACTTAGGCTTATTGTAAGTGGTAGACCCATTTTTCCGTCTTCCTTGAGTTCGCTGCTGCTCAATGCCGAAAGTGAAAGGCTAAGTTAATTTGTTCATAAATGACTTTGCTTCGAGCTTACAAGTAAACTCTTGAGCCGATGAGATCTGAAACTGCCTGTAAGGAGACAGAATTAGTGTGTTTCAGGAGAAGAGAAAATCTAAAAAGATTTCCAGTATTCTACTCCTGAAATGAGGCATCGCTGCATGTTCGGGTCTGTGGAATTCCCGAAAACGTGACACGATTACTCATAGCTAGAACTGTTTACGTTTCTCGCCGGAGCAATTCACCCTCGCTCTAATCAAACAGATTGCATGAATCGACAATCGTACCAGCCGTCATTCACCATTCACTGCAATCCTTGCGACCTTGCAATTCCTTCCAATCCCAGTTCAGCAATTTTTTCTTCTTCTTTTGAACTCGTCCAACCTCGTGCAAAACAATTCTGAAACCACTACAGCGAAAAGGAGTTAAATTTGCTTTTCATTGCCATAACACGCTAGAGGAGGTTCTGCCCAACCTGGGCGTATATGGTTTGTAGAGCCAAGCTATACGGAAGTAAGCTGGAAAGTCCAAAAAATTTGATAGGGGCGTGCCGCGACAAATCACCAATTTGAAGGGTCGTCCATCAAATTGTCGCTTGTTTTATGTGATAAAAGCGACTCGTTTTTCTACAGATTTGCGACGTACAATTTTGGTCAAACATCTATCACTGTAGCTCCTGATAAGTTGAAAGCACTGAGGGCTATTCAAAGATTTAGCTGCACACGAATTTTGCGTATTTATTGCTCGAAATTTACTGATGTGAGGTGAGGCTTCAGGCTCCCTAAAAACACGAGCCTGGAACGGAGATTGAGGTGGACATGTAGCATTTCATAATAGTTAACCGTGCAGGATTCTAATTTTTAAAGAGAATATACAAATTATTTTCTCTTTGTTTTGTTCCTTAGGATTCCGTTTTTGTTGAAGTTTTGAGCTTCATTCGTTATTTGCTACTCATCAGAAGTCGTACCCCAACAAGTGACACCACAGTGGGGCCGTCTTGGTGTCACACCTTTTTCACCAGTTTTTAAATCAAAGTCTATTTTTGTAAGGGTTACTGACGGTCCTAATCATGAATATGGTACTAATTATTCATGCTAACTCCATTTTGCGCGAATTTTGGAACGTCAACTCGAAATGCAAAAATTTGTCACCACGAGGAATCGAACTAGGGACCCCTTTTTCTGGTATTCAGAGGGCCGTTCAGGAAAAATGAACCATGCTTCTGTGGTTCCCATATGTGCCCCAATGTCATGCAAGAAACCATTTTGAAAAAGCTTGGCACACCCTGAACGACCTCCCTTGTAAGATACAAAGATGTTATCGTACGATAAGTTTGCTCCTATAAGTATTTTTCTTGCAATAAGTACTTTAAAAATGTCTTACTTACATAACTGCAAGAAGTAAGTTGTTCTCTGTTCGATTTCCCATTAATTGCATAGATCATAGCATAGCAATACCGGTGTCGTATGCATCGATCGAGCTACGTAGCGGCATGGAAAAAAATCTTATTGGAAAGAAGACTCGACGTTGATAAGACCATTTTAGGAATGCGTTTTTGTACTCCACTTCTGTCTTATAATGGAAGACTTGAAGAGGGCAGTCGATCCCTAGCGGCGATTTCATTCTGCCCCTCCCACCCTTTTCAAGTGGGCCTGGAAGCAGTCGATCGAACCCGTAATGATGGAAGGCTTGGTTTTCGTTAGCTAGATTTGAGCTAGAAATTGACCAGTCTTCGCAAAAGAAGGTACTGCATAGGTACATACATGTGTATTAGATGCATAAAGATTTGACAGCAGTTCTAAAGGAGCTGCTTAGAGTGTAGAAAAATCATGCGGCGAGATGGTCAACCGTCCGTCGGTGCCAGGGTTCGTCTTTGGGGTCGACTAAAATTAACCATTTTTGGAAAAATGCTAACGGGAATCGTGGCTGAGGGAAAAGGGTGATTTTGACGGGCTTTTGGTGAATCTGGCAAAACGAAAAGTTTATGAGAATAGTGTAAAATGAAGAATGTTGAATGATTTACCGTTCTTCTCATAATTCACCCCTCACTCCTGAGCGGCCGCTTTGCGGAGCGGAAGAAGTGTGCGCGGGTTGATCAACACCAATTAAACCCCTACAGAAATAGTTGGTAAGGGAAGCGGTTGAGGGTTAGGGGCAAGGTCAAACCTACGTTGGTACAAGTACTAACGGAGGGGAGTCAAAGTTTGTTGAAGTCGTGTGGTGGAGGGGTCGTACACAAAAGGAAGTGAAGGGAAATATAGGGGAGAATTTTGCGGTTTCATAGGTAGTGAGTAGTTATAGCCCCCATTCCTCCCGCTCGACGGTGTTTTTGAGGGAAAAAGTAGTTGTGAAGAGGGGGTCGTATGAAACTTCTCGTGAAGGAGGGGGGTCGTAAAAATTTTGCAAAAAGTACCAACGATAGGACCGACCCTGGTTGGAGGGCTCGCTCAAGGTTGATAGTGGTGATGAGGCCGGGATCCTCTAAAAGGGAAAGGGGTCATAAAGTTTCCAAAAAGCACCAACGCTGCGGCTCAATCTGTCCGTCTCATCCCTCGCACTGTCAAATTCATCACTTCATAAAAAACCGATCTAGGTTGGGCAAGGACCTTTTTTTCTGGTCAGAATTCCACATTACGTATAACTACTCGCAGCCAACACTAAGAGAAAATTCCACATCTGATAACGCAGATAATCCCGTGGGAACTCGTCATTTGGAACTTGGGAAGAAATTCTGGGAAGATTTTACCTGTGCTTCTTGAATAGCTCAGTTACTAAGACTCATGGTGAACTGACCCATGGTGCATTCCTTTTTGACAGAAAATACCTTCTATACATTCATTGTTTTGTTACGTCCATTCACTGAACGCATGCATTGTACAGTCAGGTATCGCTGATAAGGACTTTTCTAGCATGTATCACGACACGCCTACCCTCCACTATCGCGAAGGCTTTCCGCCGGCGAATCCGTCAGGTGATAACGCTCTAGCAATCAGTTTCTGGCATGTGTCTAGCTCTGCGTAATAGACGCATCTTTTTGGATTCATACACCACTCTTTTGTTTGCCTCTTTTTTCGACAAGAATTCATTCATCCCTTTCCTTTTCAGAGCCTCCAATCGGATCAGCAGGAGAGGTTAACCCAGACAGAAGAGGACCTATTGGATCAGCTGGTGAAATGTACCCGAATCAGGGTGGAATCGGAAGCGGTGTGTATAACCAGGTAATTATTCCTGTTTCTGGCGCTGTTCACACTTCTATCATTCGAAAATAATTAATATTCTATTCAGGGAAATGGTGGAATGGGATCTGGCGCAAGACCTGGTCCTCCTCCCTATTATGGTGGGGAAATTGGTTCGGGAATAGGCTCAGGAGCTATGCCGAACTATCCTTCCGGTGGAATAATAGGTTCCGCAGGTGCTCCAAACTATCCACGACCTGGAGAGAATTGGATCGGGAATAGGATCAGGAGCAGCACCAAATTATCCTCAAGGACCAGGTTTTGGTCCGGGGATAGGATCTGCAGGGGCTCCAAACTATCCTCCACCAGGAGGTATAGGCTCAGGAATAGGAACTGGAGTCACTCCAAATTATTCTCATGTAAGTTGAGTTTGAGTTTTTGATTCTCGGCTTAGGGAAGATCGACTCTCTTTATTGCAGGGTGGTGGCATCGGACATGGCGCCAATCCTATGAGACCGTATCCAGAGCCTGCGCCACCACCAATCGGCGCCACGGCGGCATAGAACTGGTGTAGATTCCGCCTCGACCTTATGAAGGGGAACTGAATCATGGTGAGCTGTGAACTATTTTTTATCAGCTAGTTATGCATGACTTAATTTTACCCCTTACCTTTGTATGCACTCAGACCACCTTTTTTCCGTGAACGCATGGTCTCTCACCGAAAGTTTGGAGTGGTTCTGGTTTGGCTATTACTTTAGAAAGAGCTTATCCATAAGGAAGCAGTTGTGAATAGATTCGCGGGAATCATTCAAGAATTCTATAGTACCCAGTCGGTCAGGTGACCAAAAGGGAGCCGGGGGAAACCCGGCCTTTTTTACACTATCTGAGGCCGGATTCAATCCTTCCCCAAGGGGTTGGGGGACGAAAATCCCTTTAAATTTTCTCTGTCTTCCCAACTGGGATTGTCCTGATAAAGGGCCTACATTTAATGTATGTATGTCAAAGTAAACATGCACTGAAAATGAAGAAACTATATCGTTCAAAACAAATAAATTTAAAGGGATTTTCGTCCCCTAACCCCTTGGGGCGGATTGAATCCGGCCCCTGATTACTGTATTTGACAAACACGTCAAGGGCTTCAGTGATCCCAATTAAAGGTTGAAGGCATAACTACGCCTACGGAATGAACAAAACTGGTTACTTCACCTTGATTATGGTCCCTCTCCTTCTTTTCGATACCAAGCCAAAATTAGATCCAACTTTTCGATGGTTAGATCGGTGACATTTCTTTATATTCATCCTGTGTGTCCACAAACCTCCTTCCCTATGTGTGCCCACCTACTTTCCGTGTTCACAACTTCTTTCTCCCGTATCATCTCCGTGTCCCCCATTACTCATTGTTGTGGCTCTTTACCATAAAATTGTGATAAAGAAGGAGATGTGTCAGCAGTGTCGATTGCAAGCCAACTCCTCCTATAAGAACCTTATCTAGACCCTCCGCCACCACTCGGTCGCGATGTTACCCCTGCAGGACCTCATATGAGGGGTATTGGTGGTATTCGAATCGGTGTCGCTCCGTACAGACCCTTCGATGGAGACCACAATGGCGGTGAGCACTTACCGAATAAAACATGGAAGGTGGTCACTGTGAAAAACACACTTCCTGAATCTTTTTGTGAATGCTCGTTTTTTGGCAATCATCGAAATCAGCTACTATCTCCGCACTTACCATTCACTTACCATTAGGTTGGTAGTTATTTACTACATAGGTTACATGGAGAGAGCGCAACTTCTACGCCCCATCACGGGTTGACAGGCAGAGCGTCCA